GTTTGTAATGTTATTGATGCTTTTCCATAATAGTTTGCTATTACAAATATTTTTCTTTATTACACAGTAAAATACAAAAAAAAATAATAAGTTTCTGACAACGGATACTGGTACAGGGGACTAAAAAATAATACAGTATATTTTGCTTTGCTGCCTCTATGCTTAAGTGCACATTTAAGATACCTACCCCAAAATGCGCATCAGAGGCATTATTTTTAAAATTTATAAGGAAACTTCTCCGATAGATGCATTCAACATACCTGCACATTGGCGATACCTGCCTTAAAAATTGTGCGACTAGTATCAGTTATCAATGAAAGTATTACGTTTACCTGCACTGGCCCTATTTTGCTCATCTCGCAGAACAACGAAAACGGCTATCAATTTATGTAGTTATATAGATAATTAGACAGCAATCGGTAAAAATTTCGCTTGCAGTAATTTCTACATGGTAAGTGCTCCGCCAATATTTGGTTTCATAGGGATTCGGATACCTTCCTCATTGAAGTAGTAAAGAAAATTCGCTTAAGTGCCTTTTTCGGTTACGTGCACAAGTTTTTCGTGCAAAGAAGGATGTGCAGCTAAGCAAAATATACTGTATACGCGTATGTTCGTCTGAGATTTATTTTAGGGAGGTCAAAGATTCTGCCCTTTTGTACTTCCTTATTATATCTTAAACAAGCAGTAAAATCAGAAGGCAATAAAAAACCGTATTGATTTATCAGGCGCTACCTTTATTTTAGAGATAAGCAAGACACAATGTGCCACGTTTATTCATGCGTGAGCGAGAGCGGTTTTGACAGAAGAATCACGTAAATAACTTCCGTGATCGTGCGTGACAGAAATTTTTGCTGGCATGAGCGTGCGTGAGTTAGATTTTCCGTCAATAACGTAATTTTCACATTCGTATGTATGGCCGCTGTGGTGTGGTGGTAAGCAGTGCGCGTTTAGACTCCGCAGGGCCTGGGTTCAAGCCCTGTCCAAAGCAACATCGAAAAAAAAAATTTAGAAAAAAGGCTTTTTTCTTAACGGCGGTCCCCCTTCGGCAGGCAATGGCAAACCTTCGAGTGTATTTCTGCCATGAAAAGCAGCTTCTCATAAAAATACAATCGCCGTTCGGAGTCGGCGTAAAACTGTAGGTCCCTCCCATTTGTGGTACAACATCAAGGCGCACGCCACAAATCGGAGGAGAAGCTCGGCCAAACACTAACATATGTGTAAGCGCCAATCTATTATTATTATTATTATGTATGTGTATTTACAACCAAAATAAAATCTTAAACTACTACTGTTTAACTTAACTTTACTATTTTGTTTATATTCAATACCCTCTATCTGCACTTTTCATAAAAATGAGATTATGATATAAAAATCCAACTAAGACTTAACTGTCATTGATGATATTAATGCTGACCTTGTATAACGCTTGACAGAAGAAGTTACTATTGAATTGCAAAGTCAGAATTAACATCAGTGATGAAAGGTAAGTCCCAGATGGGCTCTAACATCACAAAGTAGTTTTTGTGAAAATTGCAGATAGAGGGTATTGAATATAAGCCCTCGGTATACTTTTGACGAAAGAATCACACATTTGGAAAAAAATATTTAGATATTTTTAGAAGCCTTCCAAGGCAAATTTTAAACATACCCGCTAGCTCAGCAACTAGTGAAAGTGTTTTTCTAGAAGAAAGACGTACACGACTGCTTGGTGAAAACTTGGAGAAAATATTATTTTTAAACAAAAATATGAGCTTATGTCGTTTTGAAAGTGTTAAACAAACTATATACCCAAAATGACGTTGACCATCCCAATTTTCAAAAGAAAAAGTAGTATATTGCATCAAGAAAACACAAAATATGTAAATGAAAAATTAATTTCTTCCAGAAAAAAATATAATACACAGACTTTTCTTTTAAAATTTTGGGGGGTCAAACGACATTTTTGGTATATAGTTTGTCATACATACATACATAGTCAAGCTTTTGTAACAATGCTTGTGTGATAAAAGCCTATTTATATAAAGTGCTACATATTTATATAAATAAAGTTTCAATTTGAAAAAAATGTCCGTAAAAAGCATGCGTCATTAAAAATCTAGGAATAGTGAGCGTGCGTGAACTTGATTGCAAAAAAAAATATAAAAGAACGTGAGTGACTCTACTTTATACTACCACGACCTACAGTTATTAATGAGAAAGTATAACATCTTACGATCAGTGGTGAATAGTATTAATTAGTAGTAATGGTATATTAATCTAAATAAAAGAACGTTTCTTATCGACTAATTTATGGTATTTTGGGAATCATAAGGATGCCGATATTTACCAAATTTCATATTATGGCTTTTTGAGATAATATAAACGAATTTCACAAATATCTGAAAACCTTTAAATTGTCCGCTCACCTCCTTAGGGGGCGTGGCAGTTGTCTAATTTTCACCATATTTCACAAGCTTTTGTTCTACAATGAAAAAGGAGCACGCAAACTATTTTCGTCCGCAGTTTATATGTGATCACGACACCATGCGACGCTCCAACCAGAATTGTGGGTACACTCTAAAAAGTGCATGTTAAACTACTACTGAAAAGTGTTTATTTTTCTGCCAGAATCTGCATAAATATACACTGAGGGAAAAATGTCGGCCTAAAAATAAGAACAAACTAACTTGATTTAAGTATATGGAATCTAAATATTTCATTCCTGAGATAAGAATTTCGTACTCATATCAAATATGATGCCTCTTTATTATGAGTTCAAGTATTTTATTTTAAGAAACATTATAAATTGTTTTTGATATTTTATGGCCTTATAACAATTATATTCAACAATTTTTATTGAGCTTGAGGCCGTTTTTAATGAAAAACTTATTGTGGAAAAGCAACAATAATTTGAAAAAAAAGGTAGAAGTGATAGCTATTTCGGAAATCACCACATTTCTTCATCAGA